TCTGCCATATAGCTCCATTCTGCTCTCACTTGCTCAAATTCTGGTCTTCTTTTCTGCCCTTTAATTCTGCTTTGAAGCCCCAGCAGCTCCTCTCTGTCCTGCCTTCTCCCTCCAGGTGCCTCAGCCCTCCCCTGCCCTACCCTTGGTAAGGCACCCTGACAGAAAAACAGGGATAGGTGGAAAAGCCTCCAGGAAGCTTATCCTCTTAGGAAAGGAACAAGGTTTCTTAGGTAAAGGATTCCTGGCCCAGCCCTCAGCTTGTGCATCACCACCAACAGCAGCACCTTTCCTTTCTTCTGGCTTAGCGCAAGGAAAGAGTAATCTCTTCCCGGACGGAAGTGGCACCTTGGGCCAGCTGGAGAGCTGGATTAGGGAACAGAGCACAAGGCACTGGTTTCCTGGAGGGAAAAGTACAACCCCTCTTTCCCTCTGGGCCTGGCCTTGGTTACATGGTACTGTCCCCCTGTCCCCAACTTCTGAGTAAGCATCGTTCCTCTCTGGAATAGCTCAATAATGTTCTCTCTGGGCACAGATGAGGTTCTAGAATCGAGGTGGTAGTGACTGGGGGCTGGTCAGTTGGTCCTTATGTTTGTCATCAGATAACTACCAACAATACAGCGTTACTACGTGATGCCAGTCACCACTCTTAAGTATGACTTTATACATATAATTTCAGTTTTCACAACAACCTGTGAAGCCGTGAGATCGTAGATACTAATATGTCCATTTTACATATGAATAAACTGAGTATTTATCCAAAGTCACACAGGTAGTAAGCGATGGAGCTGAGATTCAACCCAGGAAGACCAGATCCAAAGTCTATACTTGTAAGCACTACGCTATATTGCTGCTTTATAGATATGTGCATTTCACTGATGTGGTTCCTGAAGCATTTGTCGCTGCTTCAGGAAGCAATTTGCTTCAGTTGAAATTTAACGCAAAGATGAAAACAACCTTAATTCACTGCCCAAACCGTTCTCACCCCTTCAGGGGTAAAGGGTGTTTTCTGAATGCATGAAGACCAGGAGAGGTGCTTTTGAGCCAAAAACTGCCTTGCGGTTTAGGCTGAGGCAGGATTTAGAAATGGCGTGAACAGTGCCCGCATTAGCCGATGGCATGTAGTGCTGAGCGCCAGCAGAGGAGATAAAATCAGACATATGTTTGGATATAAATGTTCTCTCTCTCTTCTTCATCTTCTTCTCTAATTTTAATCCCCTGCCGCTTTGTTGCAGTAAAATGTTAGGGCCTTAATTGTGGGCTCTTGCCCCCTGAGGTAGTAGTCTGGGCTGTGTAAGGCCCCCCTTAGCCCTGTCCTAGTCTCTGTCCATCTCCACAGAAGGAAGCCAGAACTCTCCACTGTCAATGGCCATGGACTCTGGACCTCTTCCCCACCAATAACAGGAATTGTCTTGCCAGGGACTCTTTACTACATTGTTCTACCCAGCACCCAGCAAGTTCTTGGCCTCAATACATGTTAAACAGCCCTGATAAAGCCAGTGTCTCTAGACCTTAGAAACTGTCCTGTCTACTCTCCCTTCTTTGATAATAAGATGCAGCGGAACACCGAAGAGCGTTAAAAGGCCTGGAGCAGATTATGGGAGTGGCAGCCACAGCATGGCACTTACAGAGCTGGGGCTGGGGTAGGTACAGTGGAGGAGAGACGTTAAGGACCCCACTCCCACGCCGACCCCCCCCGCCGCCCGACAGTCTCATTGTTGAGCCAAATAAGCAGAAACCATTCCACTGTGGAGAACTTGCTCTGGTAGGTGCTTTAAGACCTCTGTCAATCCTCAACTCTGCAGAGCTTCCAAGGCTGAGGATTGGGAGAAGGCCAAGCTACCTTTCCCTTTGTGAACACCCTGCCTGGTCTAACGTCACCCTTTCTCCAGCAGCCGTCTGCCACTGAACCTCCGAATCGGAAGCTGTTATGTACAGTCCTGAGGATCTAACCCCTTAGTGAGCACACGTGGCCCTTTGGCCAGCTGTGGGACCCCCTGTGGTCAGAATTCTGGTCAGACTTTGGGGGGCAGTACAGCCAGTTCTGAAGGAGATTGAGCACCCCAAAAAGGAGAAGAGAACACAGCAATATCTGGAGGAAGGTCCCATTTTTACTGCATGGTGGCAGGGAAAGAAATAGGTTCTTGATAGCCCAGAAGAGCCTGAGTGAAGAAGGCACATTTGACTTGGGAGTCCAGAGATCTTGGTTTCAGTCCCACCTCTTCCACTGACTAGCAGTGTGACCTTGGAGATATCTTTCAGTTTCTCTGGGGCTGTTTCCTTGACCATAAAATGTAAAAAGATTAGACTAAATGATCTTTCATGGCCCTTAGAAAATTCTTTAAACTCCATATAATCAGCAGCAGTCTTTCCCTCTAATGTGTTGCTACACACTACTCCCCTGAAGAGCTACCAACCCGTGTCCCATAGCTTGGCCGTCAGGCCTGAGGATGAGTCACCAACACAGCATGAAAGCCTGCACTTTCGGTGCTCATGGACTCCTCTCTGAAAAGCTGTCCCAGGTGCCTGCTACGAAGGAGGCAATACCCACCATTACGGCAATGGAGGTTTGCTGCTGTAAAAGCTGAAACGGTGCCCAGCTCAAAGAGTGGGCCCAGAGCAGAAAGGAACTACCCTTGCAGCCCTAAGGACACTTAAACCCAAGAACCAGATCTCAGTCTCCCCCACCTCCTTTCAGGTTTCTTCTGGAAAGCGCTTCTCCCTCAGATCCCAAGATGGCAACACACTCAGCCCCCAGGACAATGTTTGTTCTTAGGACTCTTCCCCGGGAATGTTTTAGGACCATTTCTGTACCCCTCCCCTCAGACCTCTGGTTCAGCCAGACCCTTCATCATTCCAAAGCGACTGTACAATCCCTAACTATCCAAATAGCTGCCAAAAAAGGTTAGGAAACCTGGCCCCACATCCTCTGTTTCTGAAGCAGCCGCTTTGTCCACAGTTGCCTCTGAATGTGTACCCAGGAAGCTGTTCTGAACAGCCCGAGTTGTCTTGTGGTGCTGGGAAAGGGATAATTTCTTGCTTTTTCAGCTGGTCCTGGCCAAGTCCCACCCTTTACTCTGCTGCAGTTTTCTCGTGTTATCGGGGGTAGCTACGGCGGTAAAAGGAGAGCCAGAGGGAACGTGTATTTGGAGCCTGGAAATGTGAGTGACAGTTTCTAAAGGTGTGCCATGCATGCACGCATGCTACCACAAACACTGAGACCCAGAAAGGACACATATCTACCCAGGGGATTAAGAATTGGCCCTTTTCTTAGCCAACTGCTGCAAAGTGCTGCCTGCCTCTCTCCCCGTTCAGTGCCAGGGAGATCACACCCACTCAGTCCCAATTCCCTGCATTAGTATAAAAACGCTGAGGAGACGCAGGGTCCCGGTTCATGCAGCCTCTCTGGACGTCAGTACTCGGTAAGCATCAGGAGACAGACACCCACCACCACCGAGACATGTTTGACTATTCAGCACCCAGAGAACAGAAGGAACGCTGCCTGTGGGAAGTTTAAGCCAAACAGCATTATTGCAGACCTCTTAAATCCAGGTCCCCCAGGGTCTCTGGGTAGATAGAGCTGGTGCTGCCTGACCAGCAGCTTCTGCTGAGGTGGCATTTAACTTCTGGCCTGCTCCCAGGAGCTGAGGCTGACCCATTTCCCCTGCTTTTCCAGGGCATCAGGAATTTGGTTCTACCCCCAACAAAGCCAGGGACTAACACACTTAGCTTTTGGAAGGTGCACTAGAATTGGGGTGCTTTTTATTTAAGCTAAGGAAAGACTGTTGACAGCTTTAGCATTTTCCCATACTTGAAAGAAATTTAACATTGTCTTCCCCTCCCACCTTACGTCTCCCCTCCCTTTGCCTTTTTTTCTTTAAATAGAAATGACTTGGTTAATGCTTATAAGGATCTATATAGGACCTTATTCAATTTAACCCTTTGGGGACATTGGATTAAAAATTGAACAATATTTATTAAAATACAAAAATACACTTTTCTCACATTACAATCAGTGTTCTTTTGTTGGCATTCCCCCCCACCCACCCATCCCACCCCTTTCAAATCTGAACCCTTTATTTCTTTTTAAAGCTAAAATAATAAATGAAAGAAGTTACAGCATTAAATGGACCAGAATAACAGAGATCTCTGCCTTCCCCGCCCATGCCCACCCTTTCTCCTCCACCTCCTCCTGAGGTCGGCCTGGGAGAGGGAAGCCTTCCCCCCACTGTGCCACGTTCCACAGGACTCCTTGCAGAACTCACTTCTTGTGTGTATGTATATCACTTTTGTTTTAACTGTGGATTCACATCTTTTTTGTGAACCATCCTGTTTAGTAAAGGCTTCATTGTACTTGAAATGAGCCTGTGCCCTTTTTCTCTCTCCACTCATGTTCTGCCCCCACCCCATCACCACAACCAGTTGACATCAGCTGTAATAATCCCTAATGAATCAGCATTTAGAATAGTCACCAAATCACAAGCATGAGAAAAGCTTCCACTCCCCCAAGCTCCCCAATCCCAGCCTCTCCTCCTTCTCCACCTTAAAACAAACAAAACCTTTATAAAAAATCATAAAATGCCATCATTGTCTACAATCATTTGTCAGATACCAGGAACAACAGGTGGACATGGCACCATGCTAATTTATGGCCTCCTGTGAATACATTCTCTCTGCTTCTGCTCTCCCTTCCCACCCCCCCTCTGTGGCCGCACCCCCTTGGGGTGGGCCTCCTCCCCCTCAAGGGAAACCCTGAATAGACACATGCCCTGCAGAGAGTGGGTTAAACCCATCTGCAGGAATCTGGTGCAATGTGAAAGCATTTGACTGAGAGCTACGCCAGCCCCCTTCCTTCTCTGCTCCTTCCCGAGGCGCGCTGTCAGGCGGGGCACGCGCGTGTCCCGGTGCACAAACCAAGGAGCCTTGTGCACATGGACAGACGGAAAGACCGAGCCCCTTTAAGGAGTCATTTAAATTTTGGTGGTTTTCCTGTTTAGAATACATTTACAGATCTATCTTCCCCTTGGCCTCTGAAGAAAAAAAAAATTATTGCCTCTCGACACTTCAGCACAGTACAAATTCTCGGTGCTTTTTTTGTATTTCTTTTTAAAATAAATTTGCAAAGACAGCTCTCAGCTTAAGAAAGGTGTCTATAGAAATGGGTATTCCTGTATGCTGTGAAGCATCTTCTAAAAAATGACAGTCTACCCCCACCCCCACCCCACCCCACCCCTCAGCAGCCCACACCCTACCTCTTTAGGGATATTTGTTGTTGTTTTAGTTTATCTTAGCAGTTTCAGCCTTGTATCAGAAATCCCTTCTGGTATCATAGCAAGTTGACTTGTGGCTTCTACCCCACAACGTTCCCAAGAACCCCACTCCCCCCTTTAAATAGAACTTACAAGTTAGAAAATAGTTTTGTTTTGAATTTTTGTTTTTAAATTTTAATATAATCTGTTTCTTTTACCAGCCCGTAGATTTAATATAGAAGCATATACAAGAAAAAGTCTCTCCCCACTCTGTACAAAAGTTGCTGTCGTGTGTGTGTGTGTGTGTGTGTGTGTGTGTGTGTGTGCATTCTATTGCATTTTGTAAGTTTTTGGGGGGAGGGGAGTCATATTTGAGTTTCCTGTACCTTGTCCTTGGTATGGGTCTGAATTATATAAGGTTCAGAGATTGTGGTGACTGCGGGGTGCAGAGAGTTCCCCAGGCTGTTTTCTGTCCAGTGGGCCCCATGTGCTGGTTTGTAGGTGTTGTAGTTAATATGGTCATGAATTGTGGGCAGCACTACTGCCCCCTCACCTGATACACCGGACGGAGCTGCTGTTGCTGCCGCAGACGCCGCCGCTGGGATGTCTTCGTCCACCTGGATGATCTCAACTGTCCGGGCGGCTGTGACTGTACTCCTCTGCTGGTGCCGCTTACGAAGTTTGTAGAAGACAATCAACATGGCGGCAGCTAGCAGAGTCACTGCCACAAAGCAGCCAATGATGATCTTGGTGGTCTTCATGACTTCATCCAGGCTGGTCTGCATCTTATCATTGGTGTCTGTCGCGGGTACCTGCTTGGGCACACGGGTGGTCTGAATGAGCACCGTGGTGGAGGTGGTATATGCCGGCTGATAACCAGTGGACGTCGTAGGAACAGGCTTGTACTTGCGCGTCGTATCCTCAGGTGAGATCTCAGTGGTCTCCACTGTGACTGTGGTGAAGAAGCTGTAGTTGGAGGTGTTGAGCTCGGCCGTGCTCACGTTGAGGTAGGCCGAGGCGTTGGAGTTGCCTGCCACGTTGGTCACCATGCAAGTGTATACCCCGGTGTCTGAGAGCAGCACGTGGGAAAAGTTCAAGGTGCCGTCGTTGAGGACAGAGATCCTCGGGTGGCGGGAGGCGTGGCTGAGCACTGTCCCATTGGGCAGCAGCCACTTCACGGAGGACATTGGGGGAGTCCGACACTTAAGTTCCGCCATCCGACCCTCGGAGATGTTGAGATCCCGAGGGGCATCCATGATGAAAGGGGCAGAGCACTGGAAGGAGGCCTGGTCCACCTCCACCAGGTAGCGGCCACGCATGTGCAGGGGAGCATGACAGCGGCCGCAGCAGGTAGAATTGGTGGGTATGTACTCCCGAAGCCACCAGGCTAGCCACAGAATGTCACAATCGCAGTTCCAGGGATTGTGGTGTAGGTGCAACTCCACAAGGTACCTCAGTGGGGTGAAGAGGTCATGGGGCAAAGAAGAGAGGTTATTGTGGGCCAGGTTGAGTTCCACAAGTGAGGCCAGCCCGTCAAAAGCGTTCCGCTCAATCAGGCTGACCTGTGAGTTCATGACCCAAAGCTTCTTGAGGGAGCTGAGGCCGTGGAAGGAGCCAGGCCTGATTTCAGGGAAGTGGTTCCCTGACATCTCCAGCTCCTCCAGCCCCACCAGGGGGGTCAGATTGGGCATATCTTTAATGTTGCACATGCCCAGGTTCAGGTACTTGAGGTTGAACAGTCCCTCAAAAGCGCCCTCAGAGATGTACTCCAGCTTCTTGAGCTCCCCCAAGTCCAAGCGCATGAGGGAGGGCACCCGGTTGAAGGCATAAGAGGGGATGCTTTCTATGGGGTTGTTGCGAAGCCAGAGCTCCCGCAGCTTGGACAGGTACTCAAAGGCCCCACTGGGGATGACTGTCAGCCAGTTGTCAAACAGCTCCAGGGTGTTGAGGCTGGCCAGGCCGTTGAAGGCCCCCACCTCGATCTGCCGGATGGAGTTCCTGCCCAGCTGCAGGACCTCCAGGTGGTGGAGGTGGCGAAAGGTGTCGGCCTGGATCATCTGGATATTGTTTTCCATGAGGTTGAGGTACCGGGTGTTGGAGGGAATACCCTGAGGGACCTCGGAGAGGCCCCGACGGGTGCACACCACCTTGCTGAACTGGTTACTGCACGAGCAAACGGATGGGCAGTTCTGGGGCCCGGCGGAGGCGGCAGCGGCGATGGCTGCACACAGAATCCACACTTGCGCCGTGAGGTAGACGACGGGGAGCAGGACGGCAT